CCATGTATCTAAAATCAATCTTAAAAGATTACACATAATTAATAGTAGTATTGTTCGATGCGAAGGTACAAAAGATAGAGTTTTGAGGAGTACTTACACAATAGCTAGTCTGTATTCACTAGAAACTTATCTCCAAACTAGTTGATGCATTTTCAAGTGACAAATACGGACACTGAAGTAACAATGTTGAGAAAATCTGTTTCTTCTCCGACCAAAGTAGACATACCCCGAAATAAATGTTGATATTGACGAAAAAAACCTCAAAAAAATCCTAACATAAATTAAGAAAAACAAGATATGACTCTCATATGAACAAGACCATATCAATTATGAGATTATTACCTAAATTTTGAAAACCCAACAAGATATGACTCTCATATGAATAAGACCATATCACAAGAAAAACTAATTGATGAGCGAGTAGGCTAATAGCTAATAAGCCTATTACTAGTAGCTCGATGTGGTCTTTGTCCTTACTAAGAATTTGGCCGATAAAGACCTCCCCCAAAACAAAACCGTAGCAAGGCTTCTAGTTGGTCATACATTGAAACAAATACTTTGCAATATTATGCTCTAAAGCACAAGAACTTTCTTTAAAAAAGATAAAAGCGAGAGAACAACGATCAAAGCAATTTCTCATCCCCTTTCTTGGGCTCCACGAGTTATGGACATGATGAACCATAAAGCAATTCAAAGCTTAAGAGGAGATGTGGTTCGATTTGAAGACAAAAAATTTCCGGATATAGAAAAACGAGAGATTATTAGAACCTTCCATCCATTATATCATCAAAATAACAAATATATAATAGCTTATGGAACACAAAATTCATGAATTCTTGATTTCACCTACAAGTAAATTTCTTTTAAAAAAGAGAAATAGAGAAAGAGTGAAGATACTATACCATATCAACAATCACCACTGGAGGTAGTGTTTTCCGTATTGTCCGTTGTTGTGCATCGTCGACCATGTCGTCTTCACTAAACGGTAAATTGAAAATGAATCCTGTATTAAACACATCTCGTCATTTTGGTATTTCTACAAAGCAAGCGATATCAACTAAAATGACAACGGTGAGAAATGAAACGACGATGAGGAATTAGGTAGGTAATGAAAGGTTGAAGAAGGAGAGGGAAGAGGAAGAGAGGATGAAAGAGAACCAAAAGAATCCATATGCTTTGGAGTTAGATAAAACTGAAATGGACTTGAGAAGAATAGAGGTTGAATAGGATAGTGTATTCACCTGTGGCTACGGAAATTGAAAAAGGGGAAAAGAAAAAACCTAGAATTCGAAGAGGCAAGGAGGGATAATGAATGAGCTTTTTTTCCCTTCGAACTCAAATAAAAAAAGTTGGGGTGGCTACTAATTAGGAAGTGGGGCGGTTTTATCACTCGCCGTATGTAAGTTATGTGTAAGAATAAAATTATAAAACTTTGAGACGGTTTTGTTAATCGCCTCAAATGTTTCGCCGCTATGACCTTTTTTTGGTGTAGTGCTTTAAAAAAGTGCTTTCACTTGTAGCACCAAAATGTCAACTAATAGAAAAGCTCTTTTGGTAACATAGATTAGCTTCTCTCCATCAACAACTATCATAACTTACCTAGACATCCATCTGTTTAAAGATAGGCCGAGGGGAGAGTACTTTATTGAGTTAGAGAATGGGATGAAAAATCGATTAGCGGGCTGGAAAGGACGATTACTATCTTCAGGTGGCAAGATTACACTGATTCATAATGTCCTTAATTCCATTCCAATATACACCATGGGAGTCCTACCAATTCCAAAAGCTACCTTAGTCAAAATGCAGGGATACATCATCAACTTTTTCTAGAAAAATGGTGATGAGAGTTGTCACCATTGGGTGAGCGGGAAGAACATCTGCATGCCATTACATGAGGGGGGTTAGGCATCAGAAATCTGCTGGACATGATGAATGCTATGAAAAGGAAGCTAGCCTGGGCATACCTGACTAGTTCTTTTCTATGGAGTTATTTCATGCGTGATAAATATGGAGAGGCAAATTCATTGATTTATAATGCAAGGGGCAAAGCATCATTGGTGTGGAAAACAATTCTCTTCCATATTCAGCAACTGCTAGAAAGATCCATATGGGTGGTTAGGAAAGGCCATATCAATTTATGGACAGATAGATGGACCAATGCAGATCTTCCTCACCCATCAGGAGATATAGGAGTATTAGTGGGCAAGGTTCTCACAGACTAGTCCATCTATAGAGGCTTACCTTAAGCAGTTAGACAAGTATTAGACCTCATTTCATTGGAAGAAAGTTCTCTAGACTGATTGCACTATATGGATTCTAAAATAGGTCAGTTTAGTACTAAGGCTTACTATGATACTATGAGGAGAACTGTTGCAAAATTTGAGTGGTGGAAGTCTTTATGGAACAAATGGTTGCCAAAGAAGATAGGGATTTTAGTGTGGAAGGTGTAGAAGAATACAATACTAATGGAGTTAAAGATAAAAGGGTTATGGTATTAGTCTGGCTTCCAAATGCCATTGCTGTCTGGCCGCAAAGGAGGAAACTACAAGTCACTTATTTTTGCATGGTGAGATTGCACGAGCATTGTGGAATGATTTTGTTATAACTCTAGACATAAAAGCAAATGTCAATAACATGCAACAGCTCCTAAAAGCATGGTTTCTCGCTTGAAGCATACTGTCATAGAAACAATTCTCTAGAATAATGGTATGTGTGTGCTTGTTGTGAGAATTACAGAGAGCAATGAACAGGTCTTTGTTTGAGGGGGAGAAGATGAACGAGTTCAATATCAAAATCAAAGTGAAACAAAGACCTGTTCATCTATATGAAAAAAAATCTTGTTGATAAATTGATTTTAAATATAATTAATATGTTATAGATGTGTTTATGTGCATAATTATTTAGAAGAAAAAAAATCACCTTAACAAATTAAACAATTATTTGGCTGGCTCTTTTAGTGTGTGTGTGTGTGAGTTGTGGGGGAGGGGGGTTGGGGTTAAAGTGTAAAGTAATTGTATTATTAATGTTGATAAAAGTAAGGACCTTTTAATAATTTTTTTTAATAAGGGCATTAAATCCAAAAAAAAAAAAAAATTATATTCCCTCCGACCGAGGAATGAGATTCCCCTCATTTTAGAAAAGACATTACATTTCTTGTTTTGAGAAAACGTGATGTCCTAGGCATGTTAAATGTCTTGACATTTAATATTCATCAACAAAATAAAGAAAAATATTATTGGTAGCTCATATTGTTAGGCAGAGGATATCTAAGAAATGATCACACCAAACACCCCCTTGGTAATTTGAATCATTCTCTTTAACGGGAAGACGTTTTAATTACAAAGACATTTTTTTATATTATCTTCAAACTTTTAGGTGACCATTGTAATTGCATGATACTTTGGAACAGCTATTGTAATTTATCCTATTTTGTGTATTAATTTTTATTTTTATTTAAAAAAAAACTTATTTTAAGACTTTGTATTTGTATATATCAAATCAGAAAATTATACCATGTAAATAATTGGGCAAATTCGATCATATATTTGTCATATTTAAGCAATTTGATCCAACTACCCTTAATTCTTAATAAAAATAAAAAAAATTACATTTACAAAGGAAAGTAAGTTTAATAAATGAGTAATCTGAATTAAAATTAGGTCTCTTCTACTTATATTTCTCTAAAATATGCAAGATGAGGTGTGAGGTTGTGAGAGAGTCAAGTGAGGATTCCACATTAGTTTTATTCTTTTTTAGAAAAAAAATTTGAAAATGTTTATTTTTTATTTTTTATTTTATTTTACATAAGGTAAGAGATTTTAGTCAAAATTGTGTGGCATGTGGCTAATAAATTTTTGGATGTTTGATAAGAATTAAAGGCAGATGGATCGAATTATCTAAATATAATAAAAATAGAGTTTTGATATACCAAATTATTCATACAAAATTTAATTTGTCTATTTAATACTCTATTGTCTTAAAATACTTATTTGATCAAAATTTTAAAAATATATTTTTTTAAATACTCCTAATTGATAAAGAAAATCCATTTTTTTTTCTTTTAATGTTCTTCACTAACAAAAAATCACTTATACTTTTTTCTTATACATACAAATATATTTAACATAAAAATTTCAAAGAAATTATTTTTTATTACATGAAAAATATTCATTCTTCTAGAAAATTTATGCAAGCTTAATGTTTTCTATATCTTTCTAAAAATTTTGGACCTCAAATTTGCAAGGGATAAAAATTTTAATTTGCTGCCTTTAATTTTTTGCCTAAAATCTTGTACGGAGTTTATATAGCAGGCATAAGTTTTGGAAGTAAAATTTCCATTGATATGTTACTTTTCTCTAATTTTTTAAAACTTATAGTTAATTAACTAAATGATTTTTTCTTTGATTTATCACTTTCATTTTAGATAGATTTTATCACTTTAACTTTAGAAAGATTTTATATTCTTAAGTTAATATTGATTTTATATAATGGAGGATTAAATTGGATAAATTTTCTTCTTAAATTAATATTAGAGTAACTGACTTTTCAAAAAAAAGTATTTTAGGAAAATATAAATAAAAAATTGAGAATATATTATAATTAATAATTTTTAAAAATTCTTATGAAAAATCAAGCAACAGTCTATTTGAAACAGATGCAGATTCAATCTCAAAATTTGTTTTATCGCTGACTGGAAGTAGATACATAGTGGTAGGGTCACCTCAAACATTTTTTTAAAAAAAAAAAAATCCAAGTTATGCAAACGTTTAGTTGATGCTAGGTATTGATAGTATTTGTTCCCCTGCGAGCCTTGTGAATTTATTTTCCTTGGAGTTTATCTGGGTTAAAGAAACCTAAGCAAACAAACTCCTATTATTTCTCAAATCTTTTCACCTAGCTACTTCCCACTTTCAGCCTCTATTTTGGCCCATAGAAACTGATCCCTTCAGGTTTAATCTAAGTCCTTAGAAGAAGACGGAGCAGACGAGGGAATCAAAGACATGGCTGACACTGAATTCGCTCAAGTCCAAGCAATTTCACCAGAGGGAGTTCATAGTCCTAGAAATATTAAGCCTCGCCGTCTCAACAAATATGCTCTCGCCTGTGCTCTTCTGGCCTCTACAAACTCCATCTTATTAGGCTATGGTCAGTCTTTTTCTAATCGTTTGTTGATTTACCAAAAAGATAAGTTAGCCAATAATATATGTATCAAAGTACCTCAAATAATTAAACTGAATTAATTACAACAACAATTACCCCTTTCAACTATTATAGTAGTACTAATAGCGGTTAATGTAATTAAATTAGATGTTGGTTGGATTAAATTTGTATTTGCAGATATTGGTGTGATGAGTGGTGCAGTGCTTTTTATCAAAGAAAACCTAAAAATCTCATCTACCCAAGTGGAGATAGTGGTTGGTGTCCTTAATATTTCTTCATTAATAGGCTCACTGGCCTCAGGCAAAACCTCAGATTATATAGGCAGGCGTTATACCATAGTCCTAGCAGCCACAACATTTCTAATTGGTGCCCTTCTAATGGGCCTTGCACAATCCTTCTCGTTCCTCATGGCCGGCCGCGTCATTGCCGGCATCGGTGTTGGATATTCCCTAATGATTGCTCCGGTCTACTCAGCTGAGATCTCTCCAGCGATGGTACGTGGCTTCCTCACCTCCCTCCCTGAGGTTTTCATTGTTCTTGGCATCCTCGTAGGATACATTGTCAACTATGCTTTGTCAGGTCTCCCACAGCATTTTAATTGGAGGCTAATGTTGGGTCTAGCTGCTATACCTTCAATATTAATTGGTGTTGGAGTTATAGCGATGCCTGAATCACCTCGTTGGCTTGTAATGCAAAGCAGGACGGGTGATGCAAAGCAGGTCTTGATTAAAATATCTGATACTGTACAAGAAGCTGATTTCAGACTTGGTGAAATAACTAAAGCAGCTTCAATATCAGATCAATCAGGTTCTTCAAGTGCTAACTGGCACGGGCAAGGGGTTTGGAAGGAACTTCTCCTAAGACCTTCTCGGCCTGTTCGTCGAATGCTTATTGCCGCTATAGGGATTAATTTCTTCATGCAAGCCTCAGGCAATGATGCTGTTATATACTACTGCCCTGAAGTTTTCAAGGATGCAGGAATTCACAGCAAGAAAATGCTCTTTGGGGTTAATGTCATCATGGGATCCGCCAAAACCTTATTTGTGCTGCTCTCGGCTCTTTTTCTGGACCGGTTGGGTAGGCGGCCTCTTCTGTTGTTGGGCTCAGCTGGTATGGCTTTCTCGTTGGCTGGTTTGGGAATGGGCTCTAAGTTTCTCGAGCATTCCGACACCAAGCCTGTGTGGGCTATTGTATTATGTGTAGTGGCTGTGTGTGGGGTTGTTTCTTTCTTTTCGGTTGGGCTTGGGCCCATCACATGGGTCTACTCGTCGGAGATATTTCCATTGCGGTTACGGGCTCAAGGTTCGGGCTTGTCCATATCGGTTAACCGGCTGGTCAGCGGAGTTATGTCTATGACATTTTTAACCATTTCTAAGAAGATAACATTCGGAGGAGTGTTTTTTGTGCTTGCCGGAATAATGATAGTGGCTACGGTATTCTTTTATATCGTTATGCCGGAGACAAAAGGGAAGACCTTAGAAGAAATTGGGGCTCTCTTCGAGAATAAGAATGCAAGTATTGATGATGGAAGAGAAATGAGAGAAACATAATGTGTATGATCTAGTAGTTTGTACTTTTCATTCAATGCTAGGGTTGTTTCTTTATTTTACCAAACTCACAAGACCCAGGTATAGTTTTGATAGGCCGGTCTTTGAGTGCCAATAGGCCCAACTATTACGGCTCAATAATAGTTTTTCTTTAATGCTCCCTTCAGGAAGAAATTTTACTTTTTTTTTTTTTTCCTGCAAGTACTGCTTCTATAAAATGCTAAACCTTTATTTTATATAATCATACCTTATGATACACAAATATAAAAACTCTTTGTTTTATCTAGCATTGGTCTTCTTTCAATAAAATATTCTAAAAAAAAAACTAAAACAACCGAGGCATTTGAACAGTAACCACTGTTCATTGACTATGCCTCAATTCTTTTGATTTGATTTTTTTATTATTATTATTATTTTTTTTTTTTTGCTTCGGTTGAACAGAAGCAAGGCCTGGTGCGCGGGCCTTGGCTGTTGTTCTACCCAACCAGCACCAGCCTAGCCATGAATGGTATTTTATCATTCATGATCCGGAAATCTATTTCATGTAGCTTGGCAAGGAAATTTTGAAACATGGTTGGACTCTATTATGGATTTCTGACCACATTTTCCATCAGAAATGAAAGATAAAACATAAATCACGAATTAATTAAGTCCTCTTGAATACTTGTTTGAAAATAAAAAATAGATAAATAACATGGAATAAGGTTTTAGGTTTGAATCATACATCCAATTGCTTCGATTTGAAGTCATTTGCTTCAAACTATTAAATTATAATTTTTTTCACTTTATTTTTTATGCGAACTTTTTTTTTCTCAAATTATATTTTGATATTCTCTATTTTTGAAATTGTCTTTATATCTAAAAGACAGAGAATGATAAAATAATTCAATATTATAAAAAGTTATAATTTAATAATTTGAAGAAAAAAATTCCGTGATTAAATAACAAAAAAATTGACAAAGGTTACACTAAAAATACTTAATGGACTTTTTTTTTACAAAAGTTAATATATTTAAATAAAAAATTAAAATTTATGTACTTTTATTTCTTGTCCCGAGACATGCTAATCTTCTTTATTTCCCGGCCTAGCTCGAACCAAAATTGGGCTTTGGAGCACCAATTCCACCCATTTGTGTGCTCTTAAGATTCAAGACCCTTGAACTTCTCATCAAAGTCATCCATGATGTTGACAAGAAGCAACAGCAAAACATCGTCCTCTTCTGTTTTTCGAAATCAAACAGGTCTCTCTGGATTTGTCGCATGCCATGAATATGCTTCCACGAAATATCGTAACATGATGGATGATGATCGATCACATGCCTTGGCAATCGGTACAATATCAGTAGATTTTACAATTAGTCATAAAAAAACATTGAATATGGCCTTGGGTTCTTTATGATGCCAAATTTTTTGTCATTTGTCAACATGGAAAATAATGCAACCATTCATCTTTTTGCAGCCCACATTCTCATTGACCAAAAATGGGATTTGCAACATGTCTATATTCTACTTGCTTTTTCTTTCTTTCTTTTCTTCCTCTTGTATGTGAGACAAACACATCCTACTCTGGTGGTAAAAACTTCTATTTTTTACCGCCTAGAACGTCTCCTTATGGACATTTCTGCTTCTTCTTCTTTTTTCTTGAATCCGAGTAGCTAAAATTTAACACGTTATGTCAAAATAGAAAAGAAAGAAAGAAAGAACGAACTTAAAATATGTGTTAAGATGAGAAATTATTTAATTTATGGGAAGTTGTATTTCTACTTTCCGGAAGGGGAGATTTGTGAATAATTTTTATATTTATGTAAAGACAAGAATATAAATTTTGTTATGAAATAATGAATGTCAATCATCAATTTTATTTATTTTTTATATCCTCACTACTCATTATTCTTAAAATAATTTAATTCATCATTCAATATGAGAAATTGAAATGGTGATACAATTGATTATTCATAGTCTCTTCTAGTTCTCTTCTCAAAATTTGAAGCCTATAAATAGGCTTAATTGTTTATTAGTTGGTATACAAGTTTTCTAGAGATAATAAGAGAAACTTTGAAGTTCTTATCACTTGTATTCACATTATAGTGATTTCGTTTTCTTGTCATCCCTTCCTTCAATTCTTCTATTATTTCTATTTATTTTATAACACGTTATCGGTACGACGCTCTAACCAATCGAGACAATAGACCATGAGGTATGTATCTACCAAAAGACTTAATCAATTGTTTCAATCATTGGATTTCTTATACACTAGTGTTCTACCAAAAGATCTAAATTATTTAGATCATTAAGAGGTATGTATCTAATCTATCATGTACTTTAAATATAATTATATATAAAATATACATTTGAAAAACTTAAATGATTTAATATATAGAATCTAATGATATAATATATGTTGTTTGAAAAGCTTTAATTTTATTATTATATTTGTTCTTATTTTCTAATATTATTATTATATATTACATTATAAAATTTTTATCATATCAAATCTCATAAACATGATTTTATGGCTCTTGATATTTCGAATAAGAATTAATGATTATGAGTGCTTGATTCTAAAAAAATATTCTCTACTTTTTATGTTTTGAATATGCTCCTGCAGATAGCAATATCGAAAAAATAAATTTAAGAAATATTCGAATCGATTTCATATTTGCTTTTGGCTAAATAAAATGTCAAGCTATTAATGAAAAGGAATAAATCTCCTCCAACTGGATTTACTCGATTCCTTGAAGTAAATGTGACAACTTATAATAATTTTGGACTAGATAAAGATGTGGTCATAGCCATGAACGTAATCGAAATAATTACATTATAATTGTGATGACCATAATATTACGTCTCACCACCGAAGTGGATAACTATGGGGAAAAAAAGAAGAAGATAAAGTCGGTATTCTAAAAAATAAATATTAAAAGATGTAGAATGAATGAATATTGATCATGTATCTGCCATATACCAAAACACCTCATTGAGCCTTGTCAAGCCTTATTGAAAAATAAAGAGTAAAATATGAAGGCCACCTTTATATATCAAAATAATAGTAATTGAAATTAATTACTTGTTATTTTTTCTATTTATAAATAAAATGTTTTATATTTCTTATAATTTATATTGTATAGTGATGGTTATAAATTTATTTATTTGTTTGTTTGTATTTATGAGGAATATATTCATTTATGTATTTATTATTGATTTATTTGATTATTTTGTGTTAATATTATATATGATGATATCAATACAATAGAAAGCTCTAGAAGAGTGACTATATTATTATCTAAAGAGATAAATTTTGAAAGCTCTAGAAGAATGATTATATTATGACTCGAATAGATAAATTTTTGAAGCTCAGTAAGAGTGAATATATTATTACTTGAAGAGATAACTTTTAAAATCTCTAGAAGAGTCGATATATTATTATTTGAAGTGACATAATTTAAAAGCTTCGGAAGAACAACTATATTATTATTTGAAAGGATAAATTTATTATAAATAATATACTATTCTCTTCAAAGTCTCATAGAAATTTGTTGAGTTTCAAAGATATTCATCTAAATTGATATCATATCAAGATAGCAAATGTGAATACCTATCTATTATAATTATTATACCGGGTAGAAATTATGTATTGAAAAATTTACTCGCTTTCTCTTCTAGTATTTGTTACAAATATTGAAATGATTGAAACAAATACTATGGTAAACTAGAAGTTTACTAATTTAAATACTTTTATTATATTGCATGACTAGTTATGTTATCTTGGGTCTTTCATAATACGAAAAATTATTAAAAATTCATATGGACATCTATTTCGAAGATTCTTCAATTTAATGAATTTTCATGTTCTCGCATATTGTTAAGACAAATTAATGATTAAGCCATCACTAAGTAAAATCAAGATTGAATCTTTAGTATATTTAGAATGTATTCAAGGTGATATATGTGGATCAATTCATCCACCATGTGGACTATTTAAATATTTTATGATTTTAATAAATGCATCAATAAGATGATCACATATATGCTTATGATCTACTAAAAACCTAACGTTTTCAAGATTGCTAGTAAATAATTTTATTTTGAGCATAATTTTCAAATTATGCCATTAAAATAAGTCACCTTGATAATGCTCGTGAATTTATTTCTCAAGCATTAAATTATTATTAATTGATTATTAGAATAAAGGTTGAACATCTCGTTGCTCATTTTCATACTCGAAAGGTTTAGCAAATTATTTATCAAAAGGCTCCAATTGATAGCTAAACCTTTATTTAAAAATAAAACTCTTTGTTTATGTTTGGGGACATACAATCTTACATGCGAGTAACACTTATTCACATCGGACTTATAAGTTATCACAAATTCTCTCATCTTCAATTAATTTATGGTCATGAGGTAAATATTTCTTATTTAAGAATTTTTTGGCGTTATAGTGTATATCCGTAGTGCTCCTCCATAACGAAATAAAATGGGCACTTAAATGAGATTGAAAATATATATCGGATTTGAATCATTTTTCATAATTAAATATCTTGAATCATGAATAAGAGATATTTTTATAACTCAATTTATTGACTCGTCATTTTGATGAAACTGTTTTTCCAATATTATTGGGAGAGAATAAACAAAATAAGCGAGTTGAAAATGTTAAAAAAATATATTACATAGAGTACTCTATCTTATATCAACTTGGTACAAAACAATGTGAACTAGAAGTTCAAAAGATAATTCGTTTATAAATTATTACAAACCAATTGCTAAATGCATTCTCAAATACTAAAAGAGTAACTAAAATGGATATCCCCACCGAGAATGCTCCTATTATAATTGTGTTCTAGAAGGATAATCTATTAATGTTATAGCTAATGAATCTAAAACATGCCCGAAGCGTGAAAGACCGATCGGTTCTAAAGATAAAAATCCCTAAAAGATAATAGCAAGATGAAAATATAAAGTTGTAAATATTCATAAAATGGTCCAAGATATTTCGATAATAT